TCAAGAATACCGCAAGAAATACCGCAAGACTTTTTTGACAAACTAATATTATTGGTAAACAATCATTGGTGTTTTACAGCATAGAATGTTCAAGGAGTTGTTGAGGATCTAGCATGGTCTCGTGTCCAATTATTAAATCTATGTATATCTAAATAGAAACATTTTAATATTAGAACAACACAAAACCTAAACATCCCTAAAAAGATTAGACAGACTTATAAACAACATACCATATATATGCCCCATTGTTAACCGCCGACCTTGTCGGTCACGTCGATTTTCACTATACGACTTGTTGCAGCCGCAATAATCCAACACAAACCACAGCACGAACTGAGAGTAATGTAGGAATGATTAATAGATATTTCGATTAATGTGAATACAATAAGAGTTACCCGTAGTATGAAGTATGTAATTGGCATTATTATGAATATGAGAAAAAATGTGAAGATATAAGCCAGAAATATATCCATTTTCGCTGGCGGGAAATTATGWTCGAATTAGTAACTTTTTTATTTTTGAATAATCGTTTTGTTTCTTAACTTTTTTGAATATTACAAGTGTGTATTTTCGATGCGCGTGCGATATGTGCAAACGTTTACGAATTGAAGTGTGAAAATATACAAAWAAATTTATTTTTCGCTTTAAGGTATTTATTATTGCCTCGTTTTCATATCTGTCAAGATTGTGACTTTCCTGATATCGGCCACCTTGCTGGCATTATATGCCTATCGTTAATATTTTTAACCCGCTCGTTGTATTGTTTATCCGTACTGATTAAGCTTTCCGAATGAAAACGTTTTCAGGTGCAACCGCCGAACYTGTCTTGTTAGCCAATTGATAAGTCTGTGTACAAGCATATACACAATGAAGGCTGAAGGCCGTGTAGACCCCAACGTTTAGGCAGGAAGACAACGCCGACAAAGATCTGAGCGACTAAGCCTTATCAATTCTTACTAGCTGTGTGCTTAAGTTGATAAGATTGGCGTGAGGTGTGTGGCTAGGAGCGGTACAATGAATGGGGGGAGCAGAACTGATAAGCAGGTGAGGCAATAAGGCGCTTATTTRTGGCAAATTGAACCTTATTTATATACAAAAGTATATGTGTATACATATATATATACTTTACGCTTATACCCTTAACGAAATGGATACCCTTAAATTATAAATGTATGTATATATGTAAATTATTAGCGTTACTAGCTGAGTGGATGCCATGTCCGACTGTCCGTATTTCCATAATCTAGTCCGTCATTTTATGACACGCCGATTTAAATTTTTACAACGAAATTTTGGCAAATTTTGTCCAAATCGACGATATCAGACYACTAGAGTATGTTGCCGTCATACAAACTGATCGACAAAAAAAACCTTGTATGGAAAACTTTCTTATTTGTCAAGATATCTTCATCTCTGGTGTAGATTATTGTCCACGGCAATSCTACAATAACCGAACAAATTTTTAAGTTGCTTTAATAAATACACATGTGAAGGGTATTATATCTTCAGCATATCCGAAATATCGTTTTTTTTTTGCTTTTGCTTTTGTATGTGTTTTCGCAAATATTTAAGATAGTGTAGGACTATGTGCATACAAGCATTCGTCATTATGATGCGCAACAGTGTCGAAATAAAATGGGCATACTAGATATACAGTTATGTTCACATTAATAGCAGCGTAAGTTGGGCTGTACAAAAAATGGTTCTATTTGCTACACAATTTCACTTAAAGTTTTCAAATTCTACAATAACGAATTTGCTTGAATTGGTATCACATGGGCTTTAGGGAGAATCAGAATACTGATGTTATATACACAGGTTTTAGTAAAGCTTTTGATAAAGTAAACTAWTCAATGCTTTTGAGTTAACTTGATCTTCCTGGTTTTCAACCAATATTTCTAAAATGGGTTGCTTCTTAACTTAGTAATAGAATTCAACAAGTCATATTTAACGATTCTTTTTCTGACATAATCAATGTTCCTTCAGGCRTTACTCAAGGTARGTACTCTTGGTCCAATTCTGTTCTTGTTATTTATTAATGACATATCATCTATTCTTAAGTTTTCAAAAGTTTTATTATATGCTGACGATTAGGTTTGTCACGAAGTTTGTAACACCCAGAAGGAAGCGTCGGAGACCCTATAAAGTATATACATATATGAATGATCAGTATGTTGAGCTGAATCGATTTAGCCATGTCTGTCTTTCCGTTTGTCCGTCTATCCGCCTGCCTGTCTGTATATATACGAAATAGTCCCGGAGTTTTTACGATATCGTTTTGAAATTTTGTAAACGTCATTTCCTCTTCAAGAAGCTGCTCGGAACTGCCGATATCGTAACACTATAACATATAGCTGCCAGAGAAACCGAACGATCGGAATCAAGGGCTTGTGTGGAAAACTTTCGCATTTGACGTGGTATCTTCACGAAATTTGACATGGATTACTGCTTAAGTTAATACCATAATCTCCGAAGAAATTGTTCAGATCGGTTAACTATTTCATTGTTTAGTAATTAATTGAAGAATTTTTATCACCGATAAACTTTTTTATAAACAATTTAAGGCCGAAATTTTGTTAAAAATGGCTTTTTTTTTGGAGTAGCCGCCATTTTGTTAATTTTTTTTTTTTTTTGCTTATTTCTTTGATTTGCTTTACTAGATTTGACATTCCTTTAGCAAAATCTGTTTGGATTTTTAATTTTAGAGGATCCAGTTTAGGTATGTATGTAGTGGTCACCGCAAAGCGTCTTTTATGAGAGGAGCTGCCGGAGATCAGCTGTAGTTCCTCTCAAAATAAATCTAAAAGTTTCTCAGAAAAAAACTGTAAAAATCGCTTTTTTCGGTCTTCTAACTGTATATAACTCCGTAATTAAAACCAGCGAAAGTTAGTTGATTTCAAAGGGAAAACTATCAATACTACCGATAGTCGATGGAAACTGTCGACTGGTCCGACTGGCGATAGTTTTTCAGCTCTAATCTCTACCATCTCTGTTATGGAATTTAATGCTTCTGACCTATTTATTTGGTTGGTGAGGAGGTATCGAAAAATAGCCAGAACAAATTTGGTGGATGGCCTTCTTATCTGTGAACTACAGTTCTGTATCTTAATTTGCGGTTTTTTGTGTTTTGTGGACCTGCTCCGCTCCTATATACAATACCGAGTACACGAAAGTGCCAAAGAACACGTGACCAAGTTTCATGGATTTAATTTTTACTGAAGTCTTCGTTTGTCTTATTTATGCATATGTACATACATATGTAGYGTATTTATATATAATATATTCATGAACGTGCTCTCACGAAATTAAGAAGTTCCTAGACATTTGGACAATTATATTTCTTACTTGATAAAAGATAACAATAATTTTGATAACGTTGTGCTTTTAAGCTCCAACTTTTTACGAGATATATACGCATGATTATTTTATTTATTTAAGAGAGGAAGTTCTCGGTTTTGAAAGCTCTCTTCCTAACCTATCTAAGGTAAATACTTGATGAGGCGCGGCAGTATTGTTACTGTTGGTTTTGTTTACTTTTTTGTACAGTTAGCTATGCGGCACATGTTGTGTTAAAACAAAGCGTAGATAACATTTGCGGTTGAACGTTTACTAAACAAACAACTGCCATTCATTGCAGGGCCCGGTCACGTCACCAAATATAAATTAAGGCGTTTTCGGAAATAACGTAACTACTTCTCTACCTTTAAACATACCACTTTCTGAGCGCATGGAACAGCGTCCGCCATTTCTTTCACTGTCGYCTGCATGCAAGTCCCTGAGTGGACGTTGGGTGTATTGCATATAGATCCAAAGTAATACACGTAAACACAAACTGAACACCACAAACGAGAGGAAGACCATAAAGAATGCTGATAAGTAGAGTAAAACACTCGGTAAATCTGCCGATAAATTCGCCATATTCGTTTTAATGCGTCTTCCAGGCTACCAACAGGATACCTATGTTCTTCAACTGATTTACCAACTCAAATAAGAAAAAATTGCCGAAATTCTATAGTTATTATTATTTCAGTTTCTGTTTTAAAAAATATATTGTCTTTGACAGTTTGTTTCAATTCAAATAGTTTCGTTAGATTTTTGTGTGTTCTCGAGTTGCCCAAATCCCATGAAATTTAAATTAATTGCACTTCACAGTACGTCCACCCAAGTACGCGTACAGCTCAAATAACTTTTCACAACAAATTCAGTACATTGACGCTGATGATATATCGCGGTGAAAACTAARAAATTTCCAATTTGTTTTATCTGTTTTGAACAGAGAGCGACTACGTTCACGGGCGCTACACCTACAAAGGTGTATATACAATATAAAACTGCGTATATACATATATATATATATGTAGATACAGATAGAGGCGCATATACACAAGATCTTAAGCAGACACATAYGCTTTACTAGAAGGGTGAGCCAAATATGACTTTCATACCAAAAGCTTTATTACTTATTTTGATTGCCATTATTTCTGAAAATATTAGGGCAGGCATTCATGCTTACAGAGAAGACAACTAATTGTCATAGCTGGTTTGTGAAAAATTGGTACTCAAAATTGCTGCTCTTTTGTCAAAAATGAATAAAACGTTAACTTCGGGTGCACCGAAGGTGGAAGACCCTTCACAGATGATTTTTTTGTAGCATAGGAGTATAAAAAGATCTTTATCATGATTTTGATCGGTCAGTTTGTACAACTGTTATACGTCATAGTAATCTGATATGACAATTTCTTCATTTATTGCAATTAATAATAATCCATGGCAACTCTCTTGAAGACATCTCGTCAAATGAAGAAGCATTCCATACAAGTACTTAATTCTGATCGTACGGAGCTAAATGCTATAGTGGCCCGATTTCGACGGTTCCGACAAATGATCAGACTAGTTTTCGTACATATGTATGTACAGACGAAGAGTTAGGCGGACAAACAGACGTGGATAAATCGACTCAGGTCAAATCGCTGATCGCTTTTATATATATACTTTTTACGATCTCCGAATATGTTACAAACTTTGTGACAAACTTAATATATTATATTATCTATGTTCAGGGTATACAAATTTACATGTAACAGCAACAAAAAAATTAGCAAATTGAAGGTTAGTTATAAGAGTAGGCGCCATAAAGTGTTGTAAATGATATCTTAAATACTCCGAAGTATTTTTTAATATGTTTACTATTGTGAATGATACAAATGTCAAATAACTGTGCAAACTGACAATGCAAACATTCTTTTTGACAAAAAAGATATAGACGGCGCTTACTTCTAAAGCAAGAGAAATTTATTCACCAAAAAATGAAGCGGAGCGTATATGAGTATGCTAAGAGACTTGTTAGTATGAGGTTGCGCCGTAAGTGCTACCAGTTTGTTTGAACAGCTGGCAAATTTTGCTCGATTCGCTACACTCTAACACTYTGGGAATCAAAGAAAGAGGCACTTACTTTCGATATCTCGTATTAATATATTCTAAAATGACTACTTTTGTAAAACAACAAAGTTTTCTTATAAGGCTTGTTGTACGCTTACGATTTCAAAACCGTTTTGCAGTAAATAAAATATGGATTGAGCTCAATTGGCTACGATGGTATGAACTAGTAAGTAAAATGCTTTATAATCATTTAGAAAATTCGTTAGTTTTCATAGTTTACGCATATCATATTTGTCAGTTTTGAGAAAYTGAAAACATTTTAAATAACTTAGTAGTATAACTTAAAGTATATGGTTCACTGATAATAGCGATTAGTATCTATGCATACATTTATGTATATAAGTCAACG